CTGGGGATCAGGAGCCCTTCCTGGGCTGAACTCGGGAACAGGAGCCCTTCCCGGGCTTAACTCTGAATCAGAAGCTCTCCGTGGGCTGAACTGGGGATAAGGGAAGCGCTTACGTGGTGCTGGCACTGGAGGGTGCTCTGGAGGAGCAGGCACAGCAAAGCGCTCTCGAGGAGCTGGCACTGGAGTGAGTTTTGGGACTGGAGCTGGCACTGGGGGGTGCTCTAGAGACGATGGATAGCTGGACGGAACCAGCGGAGACGACGGAGACTCAGAAGACGAAGGAAAACTTTCTAGAGCCAATTCTGGGGTGAGGATAGGAGCAGTGAACTCCAGGGGCAGCGCCATGTCCAGCAATGCTGAGAGGCCAGTGGCCAGCGGACATGCGTCGGCCGGCGATCTCGACTTCCGAGCAGCCGGCGATCTATACCTCAAATCGGCCAACGCTCTACGGACCAGAACCAGCTGCCTTCTCCAGCACAGCTCGTTAGCCATCATCCTTGTCTTCGGTGGGGTCGGTTACTCTCTCACGGTGTTGCTGTGCTAGAGAACAGGCAGGACGACGAGGATGAAGGCTACAAGAACACTTTAATCAATTCACAATAGGGTAGGAGCACAGGGTAACATTCACAATAACCGACAAACTGGCTGTGTATCCTCGCTCATAGCTCCTCAGGAAGCCACCTCACTCCTCGATCCTCGCCTCCTCGCGGTGCAATTAGAGAATTGAGATGTCCTTCAAGATGGCTGAGCTCGATCGGTTTCCAGGTCGTAGGATGGAGGACGGAGGAGCGAGGAAACAAGGAGAAATATTGAGAAGCACCCCGTAAGTGTGTGTAGAACTTTTCATTACCTGATGGGACACACTATAGTGTTGTAAAAATGCAAGTGTTTACAGATCTTTATTTTTATTTTGAATACTTTGCATTTTAAAATCAACTTCTAAATGTCTGTTCAGTAGTCCCGATAACAGATGAGACAATTTAATTTTGTGGTGCTTCTAATTAAGTAATAAAATGCAGTTGCAAATGTTGTACAAAATAATTATCACTACTACTCATTTGCACCAATAAAACATGCAACTCTTTGTTTTACTACCAAATTATATGTAATATCTAACTATTATTAATATTTAACATACATTGGAAAGGTTTCTGTGACCTCTCGCGAGATCTCGGCAAGAAGTCTCACGATTTATTTCCACAACATGATGCATGATGAGATACACTAAGCCTCGAAAACCGCTCCGGAGCGGTATTCGAAATAGTGTGCATTTAGTGTGTGTTAAGGGCACTGCGCTTTGGCGTTTTTAAGACCTGTTGGTAATAGTGCTGGTAGCCAGTCAGAGAGTAGGCTTGTTCGATATGCATCGCTGCGCAGAACGATTGGTGTATGACATAAAAGTACCGTTAGAGCCATAATAGAGCAGACGATGGCTCTCGCGGTACTTTGATGTCATACAGCGATCGTTCTGCGGCTGCGCAGCGCTGATGCATCTCGAACAAGCCTACTGATATGTGATGTGGGCTCTCTTGGGCTTATTGTAGACGAGTCGTACTGGGTTTTGAATCATTTGTAGTTTATTCTGAGTAGCAATTTGAATTTATATTTATGGTCAAAATCCAACCTTGCAGAGGTTAAAGTCTCAGTTATGAGTTCAATTCACCTTGTTTGGTCACAGTCTTGACTCAGACTTCAGGTCTTGCTTTTGAATTGATTAAGGTGATCTCGAGCACAGAACTAGATGACAATATTATAAAGGGGCATATGAGGTTTTACAAGCTTCATATAACTGTGTTGAAAACTAAAGATATCACCCTTTTTATGTAATATTTATAGGGATGTAACGATTAACTGCGAGCCGGTTGAAAATCGATTGTCGGTCATCCGACATGACGTCTCCGTTCCCATACGTAACCGAGACGTTTTGTTATTTACATTTACATTATATTTAAATTTTGTCATTTAGCAGACGCTTTTGTCCAAAGCGATTTACAAATGAGGACAATAGAAGCAATCAAAACCAACAAAAGAGCAATAATATGCAAGTGCTTTATTAGTATATTATTATAGTGTTATATTTTAATTTCACAAAGAAATGTGCAGCATTTTGTCCAAGCAATAATAAAAGGACACATTTAATTTATAATTTTTCTTAAATCTCATTTTGAAAAAAAAATAATAATAATAATCGTGAATCGAATCGAATCGTGAAATCAAAATCGTGAATCGAATCGAATCGTGAGTTGAGTGAATCGTTACATCCCTAATTATAATTACACATAAAACGCTCAATGACTCAATGAAATTATGCACTTTATATCCCCAATTTCAGTGAAATAATGTTTATTGTGTACTTCCAATAATCATTAAAACAATGAAAAATGTTTTAAAATATGGACTAGAAGAGTAACCAAAAAAATGTGTTTGGCTGTTATCCTTACTGATTAACTGTAACCGTTAATTGGGATCACCACAAAATATTTTTAGATTAAGAAACAATTATAGTGATTTATAAAACTTTTTTTTTTGTAAACAAGTCATTTTTTACAGCAACCAAAAGAAAACATGGATGTCAAAGAACAAAATACAAAAAAATTACTGATAGTTCCAAGTTCCAAGAAAGAAGTTTAAAGAAAAGATGTACAGTACCATAGTGCTTGGATAAAATATAATAAAATACTTGTATTTTTTTTTATTATGTTGAATTTATACCAGTTATATTTTCAGAGTAAATAATAAATGGAAGGGATTGAAGACATAAATTGTCAAACTATTGCCACTTCCTCCTCCTCGTCATCTTCATCTTCATAGTAGCGATTCCTCTTGATCATCTCCTCTACAGTCAGGGACTCCTCAGCCTCCTCGCCATCCCAGAAGCCCACATCCTGAGATGTCCTATGGGCTTTTTCTTCCACAGTTGGAGAGGATGTGTCTTGGGAAGTCTGGAGCTCAGGAGAAGTGCTTAAGCAATTCACCGTTTTTTCCTCATCTTCCACATGACCTTTCGGAACCTCCTGATTTTGTAGCTCAGGCTCCTTTTTTGTTAGTTGAGTCTGAGACTCTTTATTTGTTTGTTGTAGATCAGCTTCATTTTTTGTTTGTTGTGGCTCAACTTCCTTTTTTGTTTGTTGTGTCTGTTTGAGAATAGAAGGGGACATCTTTTCTTTCCTATCAATTATGGCTGGACTCTCAACGTTCTCCTTGGATTGGTTGTCGCTGTCCTTTGTGTTTTCATCTGGGGTTTTTGCCTCTTTTTGCACTTCAGTTTTGTCTGTTTTCACTTTTGACCGTGAACGAAGATCCTCCACCGAGCCTCGTCTGACCAAAGCAACCTTGTGAGATAATTGTGACTCTTGTTTTGAAGCATTGGATAATGCTAAGCTTGGTGCCACGGAAAAGGGACGGCTCCGCTCTTTGAGTGAGGAACTACGTCGCAGACTTTTCAGTTCTGCTCGTTCATGGCTCTGTTGAGCAGGTGGAGCTTCCTCCTCTGGAGGCCACTTTGCTCTGAAAAGCTTGGATGAACCCTTTCCAACTTCAGTGGCTGGACTGGAGACTTTGGAGCTTCCATCACTGTCTGCAGGAGGTGGCCACGCGACTCTCAGTTTTCTTGTTTCCACAGAAGTGGTTTGTGGTTTTTCTGTGGAACTGGTCATTTGACTTCTTGTCCCTTGAGCTGCAGCCAGGTCAGTGAATTTGGCCAGTCCTGACTCCTCCACTTTAGGGCTCAGTTGTTCTGCAGGCTTCACTAACACAGAGTCTACCACAAAGGGCTTTGAGTTTTCACCTTCCTCAGGTTCCTCCTCGTTTGTTCGTGGTATCCAAATTTCCTTGTGTGGTCGATGGCCAAAGCCCTTATCATAGTTGCCCTTAGACTTGAATAGCTGGCTGAAGTGAGGTTTACAGTAGATGTTGCCATGTAGGGAAGCATAAGTCCCCAAACTGAAATAAACGGGACGCAAAAGAAGACATATTATTGCCATGTGAAGGATATCTACAAACTGACCTCAGTAGGTTGTTACAATTTACTAATATTGACTAATTATTTTAATACATAGACTGAGGCTGTCAGAAAGAATGTGTTAATGTATGGGGTTAATATGATTAAAACTACTTTATTTGCTTTGTTTACACATTTATTCAGCTTGCATTTGTTTGTATTATTTAACATTATAATGTTTCATGGTAAATCCAACCTCACAGAACATAAACATAACAGTAGCAACAACAGGTAATACATAATGAAAATATTTTTCACTGAATAATTGATTTATAACAACAATGTTGGCTTCACTTTTCAGCTTTTAAACACCTTTGTACAAACCTTTGTACCTCCCATAGACCCCAATAACTTTTTATATACAGAGACAAAATTATTGTTTGTGGTAAACTATTATTATTATTTTTTTCTGGATGCTGTATTTTAAAGATAACTTTGTAAAATCCAAATAAACTTTTTGTTCACCTCCGTGAACAGGTGAGTCCTGCTACAGGGAGACTGAAGGACAGCTGACTGTCCTTGCAGTGGCAAACCACGTGTAACCATGTGACCTCCCAGAAATGTCTGGGAGCTTGCAAGTGCCTTGGTAGAAGAGTGGAGTCACACCACTGCAAGAACTGGCAAATCTGGTGCATTTGTTTGTCAAATGTCTTTGAAACTTATGTCTTTTGTTTACGTTCACTGCTAAAAGTGAAACTGAAAACTGAAAAAATGATTAATGTAAATATGTGAATAAAATATTTAAGTAGTAGTTGCGTAGACTGACAATAGAGGGACATAAATCTCTCAGATTTCATTAAAAATATCTTCCTTTGTGTTCAGAAGATGAACAAAACTCTTACGGGGTTAGAACGACACGAGGGTGAGTAAATGACAGAATTTTCATTTTTGGATGAACTATCCCTTAAGTTGTATTGAAACCCCAGAATATTCTTTAAGAGATCATAGACATTTAAAACAAAAACTGACCCGAGTTTTGTACTACAAAAGGCACAGCGGAAGCAAGTCTTGTGGTAAATCTGCTGATTGGCAACATATTTCTCCAATGGGTAAACAGTCTTCAGGCAGGATACACATCTTTCCTGGACAGGCAGGTGAAATTTCTGTCCAGGGGAAAAAAAGATCTCATCAGCAATGAAATTCAGTATTTAGCATAAATATCAGACGTCTATGGTATAAAATCTCACATTCCATACTAACAGTTAGCAGACTGTCCCAAAATCTTTAAAGGAATTTAATGTTCACATTCTGTACTCTGTATAGGAATTTATGATCCGCACTCACGAGAACAATCTTCTTTTTTCTTTTCTTTTACATTTATCACTGATGGGAAAAGACACAAACGTTTCGGCTCAAAGCCTTCCTCAGTGTGTAAAGCAATTCAATCCCTCCACCCACTTTTCAAATCACTAATTATATTGACGTCATCATTCATTAGCCAATGTTCAATTACCACAATCATTGAATCATTTCCACTTAAACCCTGGACAATTTACATATATATATATCCAACACAA